AGAGGGAGAGGGAGAAGCAGGCCCCCTGATGAGCATGCAGCCTGTCCTGGGGCTTGATTCCAGCTCATGACCGGGAGCCGAAGGCAGACGCTTAACCAACTGAGCCACCTAGGCGACCCTCTTTACTTGATTTTTTGACTTGTATTTAATTTCAATCATCTAAACCCTCCGGGGACAAGTTTTTCCTTCCTCATATGCCTGTGTGTGTTTGTATTTCACGCAAGTTAAGAATCAATTTGTCAATCTGTGTGTGCACACTCTGATGCCTCTCCTGCCAAGCCTTGCAGTCTATCTTATGCCCAGTGGGTGGTGCTGTTGGCATAGACTTACTTTCATCACATTCAAACCACTTCTATTTCATAGTAGCAAACTTTAAAATTTTTCAGCATCAGATGGCTTTCCTATACAATCGTCCTCACTCTAACACACAGACAAAAAGTCAATCTAAATTTTAACCCCCTTTTTGATTACTTATCTGGCACTTGGTTTAGAATCATCCTGTTTTCCTGGGCTTAGGGCATTTTTTCCCCCCCAGTGCACTGGTTTATCCTTTGCCCCAAGATTTTGAAGTCTAATTCCTACCTTTTTCCCAGGTAGTTCCACCCATATTCCTGTGTTATATATATAAACTCCTATTTTCTTCTTCATTCACGTTTTTCTATTGGTTCCTGCTATAATAGATGACTATTTAAGGTCATTTACTCTATTCCATCTTCTCTTCTGCCTCCTCTCAGCATACTTAAGTTACTCTGTTTATCTATGTAACTTTAAGCAATATGTTTACATTTTTATTTCTTGTTCCAACAATTATAGAAAGAATCTCTAGACTCCTCATTTTGAAAGGCTAGGGTACTAGAGACTACCTTTCTTCTCTCCTTTCCCCTTTCCATCTTCCCACTCCGGTCAACTGTAATTTTGCTTTTCAAATTGTCAGCATTGATTCTGTTTACGTTCTATTCTATAATCCCAATTAAGTCACTATATTTGTCAGTATATTGATTCTACAATTTGGGAATAAAGAATTTCAGATTATCAACTCATAGCTAACCTACCTTCATTCCATGATTTCATTTCCCTTCTTTTGTACTTGTATGTCCCGCCCTCCTTGATTGTTTCTTAAGTGTTTGTAACAATGCTTGGATGTTGCCCTCACTACCTTCTCCTGGAAATCTAGCACCTTCTAGCACCTTCCCCACGTTTCTCCTCCTGGGATTTCTTTCCCGCAGCTCCATCCTTTGATTTGACTGTTTTCTTTCTAGGCCTACTGCCTATCTGCTCACCTTCCTTCCTTCCTTCCTTCTTCCCTCCCTCCTTATTTCCTTTCTTTCTGGCTAAGTATAGGGGTAGGAAGTTGGTGAGAGAGGTTCTGAGCTCCAGGGTATAGTGTGTATATGAGCCTTGTTTCATATACAGATTTACAATTAATTCTTCTGTTTTAGGTCCTGCATGTCATCCTTACCTCCATGCTACTTGATATCTGTGTCACAGGCTTTTCTGGGGTGCCACAGAGAAGACTGCCTTTCTTTACACTTGCAGCCTCTGTTCTGTATATTTTCAGTTAGGGCTTCATCACTTTCCTTCACTCTTCTTTCAGCTTTCCATTTCCTAGAAATTTGATGACATTTCTCTTGTGCTGATGGCTTCCCTGTCATTCTCTTTATGGTGAGATTTTTAATGCCTTGATTCTCATTTTAATAGTGTCCAGGGCTCATAATTGCTCAGACTGCCATCTTGAACTGGATGTTCTAAAATGACTTCTCAAGTGCCCATGCTCTTCACAGTGCCTTTTACCAGTCCTGCCTCATCCCCCATGTCCTTCTCATCCTTGTTTCCCTTTGTGAGACTGCTGTGACTTCTTTCCAGAAGCCCAGTCCTATTCCTATTACCAGGCCAGTGTATAGTTGACGCTTGAACAACATGGGTGTGAACTACATGGGCCCATTTATGTGTGTATTTTTTTCTATAAATACAGTACAGTACTGCTTATGTATTTTTTCTTGTTTATGATTTTCTTAATAGGAGAATGTCTTAACATTTTATTTTCTCTAGCTTACTTTATTATAAGAATAAAATCTATAATTCATGAAACATACAAACTATGTGTTAATTGACTATTATGAGTAAGTCTTCCAGTCAACAGTAGGCTATCAGCAGTTAAGTTTTTGGGGAGTCAAAAGTTAATATACAGATTTTTGACTGCACAGGGGTCAGTACTGCTAACCTGCACATCGTTCAAGGGTCAACTGTAGTATTTAAACCACCTTTGTACCTCCCTCACTGAGGGTGATCCTAGTTGCCCTGCTGGGCTACAGACGGGAGTCCTAGTTCTGATCTCTGGGTCCCAGATTTGTCCTGAAGACATGACTTCTCCTGCCCCTTATGCCCAGACTCCTGGGACTTCACTTCTGCTTTCTTTCTGTTTCTAACAACTTTGTCTTGTGTTGGCCTCTTCTCTTTGCCCGTTGGTAGTCTCACGAGTCAACCAGAGCATAGCACACCTCCCAGATGATCATGGCCAATGTGCCCCAGTCACCATCTCAGATTCCCTGTTACTGTGGACCATCTGTGTCACTGGGCCCTCACTACCTTCTCCTGGAAATCTAGCTGCAAGTTGCTGTCTGTTTGTCCGCTGAGGTGGCCACCTCTTTGAACACTTCCTTGTCCTCCTGGTTGCCCTTCCTGCTGTTCTTTCAGTCCGCCTCCAACTGTGCTCTGACCTAACACATTTTCTGTCATTAGGCACCATCTTCTCTCCACTTATTGCTTGCTTGGGCTGCTACAAGGATAACAGAGATACTTGGTACTTTCATCTCTTCACATATCACCCTCCAATTCTCCAATTCCTACAATCTATATAGCCTCAATGGGGGCAATATCATCCCTAAGAGGATAGAAATTGGTTTTGGAGAGCTGAAAAAAATTTACTCTTTTTGTTCTAAAGCACAGATATATACACACAGTACATGAACAGATAAGCAGCATATCTGTGGTATTAAACTTTCATGGGCAGTGGGCATTAGGGAAAAAATGGCTATGAAAATCCCTTGTGTGTTGGGGGGCAATAACTTTTTTTTTATAATTCATATTTTATGTTATGTTTTGGGGGTCTCTTTCTTTAAACTTTATTCTTTTATTATTTTTTTATTATGTTCAGTTAGCCGCTGTATAGTACATCCTTAGTTTTTGATGTAGTGTTCAGTGATTCATTAGTTGCATATAACATCCAGTGCTTCTTACCACGTGTGCCCTCCTTAATACCCATCACCCTGTTACCCCCTCCCCCCACCCCCTTCCCCACTGAAACCCTCAGTTTGTTTCCCGGGGTCCACAGTCTCTCATGGTTCGTCCGGGGGGCAATAATTCTTTAAAAAGGTTAAGAAACACTGCTATGATCTTTGCCAGTTTACTTCTCAGGTACCATTTTCACTGTTTGCTCTTACCCAGAAACCTTCAGTAGTCCCCATGGTCAACTTGATAAAACCAGAATTCCTTGTTTTGTAGTTTGCTGCTCTTCATACTTTGTTTCCAATCATCTTTTCAGTGCTAGCTCTCACTTCTGTTTCTACATAAGTCCTCCTCTCTAGCTAAATTGCTAGTCCTAGCCTCCTAACCACAGCCCTTGCTTTCTTACTTTGCTGTTGCCAGTCTCTTACCTGAATGTCTTTCCCTCATCTCTTTCCTATGAAAATCATTCAGCTTTCAAGGCCCAGGAAAACTCCAGCTCTGTTAAGTCTTTCCTAACCACTTCAGGCAAAAGCAACCTCCCTTTCTTTTATGTTTCAATAGTTTATCTTACCTATATCATGATGTAGATGGGAATTTATTACTTTGTGATTTTAATCTACTTAGATCTCTCCCCAATAACTGTCTTATACTAGCCTTATACTCTGCTCTACTTAGAATAGTCCATGTGCAGTTGGCTTTGTTACTTTTTTTGTAATTGATTTAATTATTTCTAATTTTGATTAACAAAAAGCCCAAGTATATATATTAGAGGAAGACATAATAGGAGAAACTTTGTTGATAGTGTGAAGACATTGATTTATGTGCTTTTTTTCAAATATAATTTCTTTATCTTTCTAATTAATATACTAAATACATTTATCAATGCACAGAACAGTGTGTGGTAGACATAAACCAAAACTTTACAGAAGCCATAGGTCATGGTATTCTCATTTTTCATTGTTAAAAAAAATGATTATATTAGCTAACCTGGAGTTGTTGGTTGCAGTCAGGTAGTTTTAGAGATCATAAGAACTTTAAGAAGTTTCAGACAGTGGTTGATACTGAGGCTCATCTCTCTTTGTGGAGAGCAATTATCTCTACTTAAGAACTTGCAGTCTGGGGCGCCTGGGTGGCTCAGTTGTTAAGCGTCTGCCTTCAGCTCAGGTCATGATCCCAGGGTCCTGGGATTGAGTCCCACATCGGGCGGGAAGCCTGCTTCTCCCTCTCCCACTCCCCCTGCTTGTGTTCCTGCTCTTGCTATCTCTCTCTCTGTCAAATAAATAAATAAAATCTT